GAATGGGGGTATTGGCTCCTTGGTTGTGGTTTTTTATAGCTCTTTATGGATCCTGTCCTGCCTGTACTGAAGCCACTCGAAATTTTGTTAGTGATAAATTTAGGTTTGGTTAAATTTGGTATGTGCCACAGAATTGCTAATCCTACTACTACAGTTTGTACAAAAAAATTCCAAATGAAATTTCTGCTCAGATTTCCGGATTGATGAAGGAGTGAATTAGTATTCTGAATGCCATTAAAGCACTGAAGGACTGATAACTAGAAGACTAATTGAACTGTATCAACCATGAAAACAGTTTAAACACTAAGTCTGAAAAGTTAATAGGGCCTGCTCTCTTAAAAGCAAAAGAAAAGAAACCATCTAATTATGGGTTATACAGTCCTAGAAAATCCAGCCCAATTATTTCTGCCTTCTTGAGCAATGTCTGCAGAGGTAGGATGCTCCAGTGGTTAGGATGCTTGCTTAGATAGCTGGATTTTTTTTTATCCCCTACATCTACCACAGTCTTTGACCACGGGCAAGTCATTTAATGACTCTCTGCCTCCACAGTCCCTTGCCAAAATGAACTTCCCAGTTATGTGCTCTGAAAAAATTGTGGCAAGGGTCACTTTGTGAGCCCTTCTGCTGTGACAAAATGATCATGCCAAGTAATTCACGTAAGAAATTTACATTTAGTTCTTACTAATAAACAGGCAGGAATTTCAAGTTATACAAAGGTGAAGCAGCAAGAAAAGCACCCAGACGTACCCTTTTGTCTCATGCATATATTATTCAAAGACCAAAAAAAAAAAATCATCAGGTAAATTTGCTGAAATAGTAAACAAAGGAAGGTTTCTCAACAGAAGCTGTTATTAATACTGACAGTAATTACCGTGGGCTAAATCCTGAGTCATGTTGAGATTACGTTTCCAAAAGGAAAGCAAGTATTTAGACTTGTCATTGCCTGGTCTGATGATTTAGGCTCAATATAAAATACCATCTTCTGTCCCAAAAACGACTTTTAAAAGTCTGCAACAATGGGAACATTAGTTTTCTAATCCCAACAATTCAATGTTAAAAGATGTAGCATTGCAGATCAATACATTTCTAAACATTTGCAGGCGTATGTTGCGTACTGAACTCTCCCACTAGTTTAATCTAATCATGTGTCTGTTATAAATCTGAATCTAGTTCACTGGCCTCAGGACTTCCTCAGGGAGAAATACTCCTTGAGAGATTTAATGAGTGTGCACCAGAGTCTCTAATTAGACAAGAAGCAAGTTTGGAAGGGGGAAATGAAGTAGTATAATACACCAGCTCGTATAGCTAAAAAATACTTAAAAAGACTCTGCTTTCAGGCACACAGCCCCTTCTCCAGGTTATCAAATTAGATTACATGATACTCACATTCTCTCGAAGAAAATCTTTTACCTTATGCTTCAAATGAAATAAATAAACTCTATTCCATTCACTTCACAGAATATCAAGGATTTAAAAATTGATTTTTCTAAGAGCTTGGTTTCCTAAAGAAGTAAAACTATGCCCGTTTGATCTGCCCATGGAGACCCCTACCTTTCTGAATAATTTTTAAGCTTTAAAACAAATATCAGTCAAGTTGGATAGAGGCACAGGCTCTCAAAGGAATTACATGCCTGAAAGTTTAATTAAAAAAATCAGTGAAATAGAGAAGAGTGACCATACTGGTGCCCCCAATGAAGACCAGGCTGATAAGGTACAAAAGACTAATCCCCGGGGAGATAAATATTCCATTTTAGCTGCAGGAGAGCCTGCAAGAGCACATAAATCCACAGAGCCCAGACTTAATTAGTTTCTCTGCTCCTGGAGCTAGTTGGTCTTTTTCTATACTGCATGAGTAAATAGTGTACTTGGGGGCTTCTTTAGGATGATAGAGGCTCTAGAATCCACTGCTCAGAATTTCCTTTCTACACCTGCAGTAAAGGATCTCCCTGACTACTCCTCATGTTTTGGGAAGGATCCCTGAAAAAGCGTATTACGTGGGCAGGAAGGTTGCAGAAGAAGTGGAGCTTCTGGCTTGGTTCTGCCACAGTGAAATCAATAGCGAGGAAGGTACAGAAGCGTTTTACAGCTTCATCCTGCTATGGAGGGTTTTAGACCTTGTGACTGCTTGGCTGAACAACTTAATGAGCAGAATTGTCTTAACGTTTCAGAGCACAGGCAAGTGGAATTCTGCTTGTGCTAAAAATACCATCCACATTACTGTAAGCATAATTCATTCCTGGACAGGTTTTGGTTTATTTTATTATTTAGAATTTATATAGGTTACTCCCTAAAAACAATTTTAGGATTCTTGAAGGGTTCAGGGTGCTCTGAGAAGGTAAAAAGTCAGAATATGAAGAGTGCTGCCCCCCTTGGCAGTGGAACCAAAGGCTATGAGTTGAAAAGTTTGCATGGCTTAAAGAGTTTGGGTCCCTCCTCAGCTGTTTATATTGCTTTAGGTTTTGGAACTTAATTTTTGTTAGCTTTCCTAATAAATCACCCCCTGATCGCCCTGATGTTTCTTGCAATTTTTTTTTAATTTTTTTTTTGGTGCATACTGGCAGTCTTGTCAACTGCAAGGAAGTGGTACAAGAATTACAACTGTATTGTAGCTAAAATGTACAAGTCCTCCAGTGCCTGCTAATATTTCTTACACAAAGTTTGCTGTACCTGTTCATTTCTGCTGACAGAACGGTCAACCGTGAAAAAAATAAATGGTACTTAGCTGTGATTGTGAAACACGAAGGGTGGGAAACGAGAGGCATGCTGTATCCTGTGCCCTCTCGAGACTATCCACTGGGATGTGTTTGGATGTGACAATTTAGAAGTTGACAAATCCAGAGGATGGGGAACTGTCCTGACCATTCGTTGATAAGATCACAGTGATATAAAACCATGATGAGCTCTGTGAGTTTTGAAATAGCTGTCATGGAGCTCACTGAACACGGTTTCAGAGGGGTGAAATGCTGTTTTAAGGGAAGGTGTGGAGCAGCACAAGAAACCATTGCAAATTTGGATAGCGACACTCCCTCCTTCTTTGCCTGGGAGAAAACTCTCCCAATAATTGAAAACTTTGCAGAATCAAAGGGAAGTGTATAAGGAACGTGGGACAAGGCTTTTTCAATAGTGGGTAATGTAGAGCTGGGCGAGTTACTCAAAATGTCTCTGTTGCCATCTCCTCCTCATTTCTGACAAGTTCACTGAAACAGCTGAAGGAAGGACTTTCATCTATCAAACAAGCTCTGAGCCTACTGCAAAGGAAGACAATACTTTGAAGTGCTGTATGCATATTAAACTGCTTAAAGCAGGCTTTCTTCCCAAAGTAAATGACCCATGCTGAGTTCTGTGCTGCTACAATTAGACTTCTTCCACTTATAATTAGCTCAAGTATTCCTGTTCAGCACAGGCATAAGGATTCTGGACATATATCTCATCAGGTCACGCACACTAGATTATACAAGTCTCTAATTTAGGATGTAAATTCTTGAGGTGGAGGCCCTACTTACAAAGCATTTGCAAATATAAATTCATAAAACAGTAACGAGCCCAAACACATCTTACTTTGAACATGTGTAATTTTAACAAATTGTGCATTAGCTTATGTTTCAGTTTCTACAATATTCTGTTCTTTCGCTGTGATAATGTTCTTGTACCTCTCCCACTCATCCACAACGCGTTTGCGGTGTAACCGTACCACATCTAGCGCTAAGTTGGGCTGCCACCAAGAGACACCTCCCCTCCGTCACCTCTGCGTCCCCTCCCCAGCTATGTATTTCCACTGGCAGGTCTGCACAGCAGAATTTTCTCACTTTCCTTGTGCTTCGCCGGTTATAAAACGGTGATGCCAGTTTTCATGGTCTTTTTATTAGATTTTTGGTTTTGTGCTTGTTCTCCTTCTGCTTCTTATACTTGGAATTACCTAAACACATTTACAAAACCATTTCATTGTTTTCTTTCAGATCCCTCCTTAAAGCACTCCCTTCCCATAATGTATGCAAAAATCCTGACAATAGCTGTTCAGGTTTTATGAGGAGGCCCTGGCCTATATCTTTTGATGACTATTCTTTTATTATTTCCTTGTTCTCCCCATATTTATTCATCTGTTCCCTTTTAGACTTAGAATGTGCTTTCTTTGGTGCAAAGATCACCTTTTTCTTCTGTGTTTCATATACTGCCTGACTGATAAGAAGAGTTTTTAGACCTTATATTACTGGTGTAAGTAGCCCGAATCTCGTGGATTATCTGCTAAAATAAGTAATTTTGTGAGTTTAAATAAACCATCTAGCTCTGAAACCTTCGCCATGTGTCTTCTTTTCTTTTTTAGCAAATATAGTTGGGAACTGCAGCAACAATTTCACTGATACAAACAAAAGCTAATCTCCTTTACAACTGTGCTTGGCTGTTAAAGGATAACTGGGCTTTAATCAATAATTTTCAGTTACTTAATCTAAAGCCCACACATTAATCACTAAAGAATACTAGTCTCTCAACCTTTTCTTAACTGATTTGTAGTTCTGAAAAGTTCTATTTTAGTTTAGGACCATCACAGATTCATGTGAAAATCCCACGTGGGATTCTGGATGCAAACCAAACCCCTGTTGGCTACAACAAG